CTTCCATATTCTGCCTGTAGAGCTGTATGTGTTGGGAAGCACGGTTGAAGTTCAAGTGATTTGCAAGTAAATGCTGGCTTTGCTTAACTCTAAACTCACTTGCCTTTTCTTTGCATATGTGCACAGGTTTATAGCCAGCCAACAATTTGTAGAAAACCGTCCCATTTTTTCCTGCACAAATGTATATGGAGAGTTTGTGAAAGTTTTTGATGCTGTTTTATTCTCCATATCTTCCTGTTAGATTTCTAGTTGATCTACCAGTCTCTCCTTACCCTAACCTTGTATTGTAGCCTCAGAAAATCAGCTGAGCTGCTGGTCTTACCTTGTTGGTTTGCTACTTAGATTGCCACTATTACAATGCTGCTGGTTTTATAGTGCTTTGCTTTGTATAAACGCTTCTTTTCATGCCTTTTTCCCACCTTGGTGAAACTTCTTTATGGACTGAGCTGGGGTGGGGGATGAGGGAGCCTTAGACAAGAATTCTACAGAGTCCTATTGTTCATACATGAGTTCTGTTGCTTTTAAAATAAATAATCACTTATCAATGTAGTGAATGCCTTTGGTTGAATTCCAGATCCTTGACTGGGTTTCGTGTGTGTGTGTGTGTGTGTGTGTGTGTGTTTGGGTTTGGGCTTTGGTTGGTTTTGGTGGTATCAGGGACTGAACTCAGGGCCTACCTTATGCTTACTAAGCAACAGCTCTACCATTCGAGCCATGCTCCAGTCCTTTTGCTTTTTAGTTTTTTTATTATTTTTCAGATAGGGTTTCGTGCTTTTTCCGGTGCCAGGTTTGGGCTATGATCCTCCTACCTCTTCATCCAAGTGGGAATTACAAATGTATCCTGTCACACCAACCTGTTTGTTTTTTGAGACAGGATTTCACTATGTAGTTCAGGCTGTGCTCAAACTCATGATCCTCCTTCTTTCATCTCCTGAGTGCTGGGATTACAGATGTATACTACCATGCCCAACTGCTAATTGAGTTTTTGACAATGTGTCACATTGCTTTTGGAGTAGAGGAATAGATGAACTACTCATACTAGGAATCCTGCCTCAGCATTAGTAATTTTTATTATCTCCTCAGCTGATTTCTGACGTGAAGACAGGATTAAGAATCACTGAGCTAGGTTATGGTTACAGGAGGAAGAATCTTGATTCCACTTCATTCAGTTGGCATTTATTGAACAGTGTATAGCACTAGACACAGCGCTGAGCATCCAGAGGGGGGCCACCCTCTCCTTGATACTCACAGGTAGTGGGATAAACAGGTAGAAAACCAACAATAGAGTATAACTATGAACTTGTAGGGATGGGTGATGCTAAATTTGAGAGCAAAGGTCACAAAAACAATGCCTACATTGCACTGTTTTTCTAAATTGTTCTGATAAGCCACTGTCATAATATTTTCACAAGTATCAGTTAATAATTCAAGTATGAATAAATTTATTCATTTGGGGGAACTGTTTTTGTATTTTAGTTTTATCCAGACTGTGGTGATTTCATAATCTCAATTTTTGATTCAGGAATGGCAAACAATGTCAGTATACTTATGGGCAGCATGACATGGTGTTATGGTCTCCAATGGGGAAATGCATAGTGGCAAGCCAGGGGGATGTAGAAAAAAATACTAGCGCTTATTTTTCTAATTTAATTTGACCTTTCAAATTTGCCTAACAATTTAATGTTTCACCAAATGAGACTGTATAGTCCCAGTTATCTGCATAGAACTTATAAATAGATGAATTAACCAATACCTTTTGACTAAGAGTATTTAATCACAAAAGTTGGAGACCAACGGTATAGTGAGAAAAGAGAAAAACAAACACTAACTTAGAAATCAAGAGGAGGTGTGTGCTAATCCAAGTACCACTACTAACTAATTTGCTGTGTGAACGTGAGCCAGTTGCCAAAACTCTGTAGGCTTTGGTTTCTAAGTTCCTGGAATATTTCCAGAGAGCGCTTTCTGGGCCTTAGCTGCATCCCTTCTTTGTGGTGCTGCTGGCCATAGATAGAATAATGTCATCCATACCAGGGTATTTATTTAAAATCGCTAACTATAGACATATTAACAGAGGATTAGCACAATTGGTAACAGCACAAAACGATGAATCTAGGCACCATTACAGATAGGTAGATCCCTGGGCACACACACACACAAGTCAATGTTTACCTATTGCTTAATTTACTTGGATTGATCAACTGAAATTCAGAAAGTTTTAAGACTTAAGCCGAATATATAAAGACCATTAAGTATCATTTTAATAGGTAAAAGTCCTACACAGATTCATGCATATAAAATTTAGTATGTACTCAAAGACAGTACAATTATTTTCAAAATTTAGATACAACTAATAGCCCAAGAAGTTAATAAGCCCTTATTTACCTTTTGAGGACCAAAGAAACTTAAGATCTACATGTTATTTAATTCCTCTAAAAATATTATTGAATTCTAAAATTTGATAATGTAAAACTTCACTTGCTCTTCAGTGTTCATGGAGCATGATAAAATAGACTACTGATGATTTTTCTTCAAATAATTTCACTGATTATTACAGTTAGCTCTTTAAAACTTTGTGTTTCTCTAATTTAGTTTTGTTTGCTAGCTTCAATAAATAACTTAGAATTTTTAAATAATCTATTCGCATGGTGTTTTAACATCTACTCCTTTTTTTATTAAAAATCCAAAGCTTGCCAGGCATGGTAGCACACAGCTGTAATAATCCCAGCACTCAGAAGGCTGAGACAGGAGGCTCTCCAGGCCAGCCTGGGCTACATGAGATTCTGTCTATGAGAAAGTGAGAACCTAAACAATATAATAATGCAATACGTAAGATCACAATACCTTTTGTGAAGTCTTGTTCAAGATAATATATGAAATGGAAGCTAATGATAGTGCCATGAATCTTTAGCATAAAATTCAACTGTTGCTGGTCCTGGTGGCTCACACCTACAATCCTAGCTACTTGGGAAGCAGAGATCAGGAGGATTGCTGTTCAAAGCCAGTCCAGGCTAATAGTTCTTGAGACCCTATCTTGAAAATACCCAATACAAAACAGGGCTGATGGAGTGGCTCAAGTAGCAGAGTGCCTGCCTAGCAAGTATGAGGCCCTGAGTTCAAACCCCAGTACTGCAAAAAAAAAAAAAAATCAACTGTTAAAAGTCAACTGCTCCGATTTACCTGTGAGAATGGAATAATCACATTCTGGGCATAGTCGATGTAATAAGTATATCATTTTAAAGATTTATCTTAAAGGAAAAATGACCAAAACATGAGCTACACAACAAAAAGAATGACAAATCCTAAATATTTTGATGTAAACAACATTGAAAAATGAGCTTATAAGAATATGATTATAAGCTCTAGAATAGAAGTAAAAAAGGAGAGCAAAAGCAAAAAAATAGAAATGAAAAATTTCAACTGTTCTTGAAACAGGAAAAGAAATGAAATACTCAAGCGCATAATTTTATTTTGTATAGTAATGGAATAAAGGTGTGAAGGAAAATGCCACTTTATACTTAGACCTGTATGAGCACAGCCTGTACTTTGTGACCTGCCGGGGTATAGAATGCAGTCGTTCTGCTGCTGCCCAGAACACCCAGTCAGGAACAAATTTCACTCTGGCTTCCAATTGGTAACCAATCCACAAGCTGAACCTTTAGTTTTAATGCTGATCATAGAAAAAGAGCTAGATACTCACCTTGAGGCAGTATGATGGGGGAGGAAGTTTGCCATTTCCATGTGACCGCTACAGAGGATCAAAGCCCACTCTGCACCCCCAGGGTTGGAATCACTGTGCACTCTTCAAGTCCTTGAAGCCCTTGCAGTTCTGTGCAGTACTACTTGCTTCCTTGCATTATTATCTACCCATTTTGCACTGTGTGTATTTTTTAGCCTGCATTCTGCTTTTGATGCTGGTAATCCTCTCTCCTTTTCCAAATGATTTTCAAAGAGCAGGTAATAATCAAGATTAGAATGATTTGTTTCATCTGGGCAGCTTGACTCCTGCTACATCACACCACTCACTTGCTTCACTTTCTCTTCAAGTACTTTCCATGAGTTTTTTAAATATTGTTTTCTTTTAGAAAAAACTTCCCCAGTTAGGGCAGAGAGTTCCCACACAGTCTCCTTCATGATCACACATACCAGGGGCTTCTAGCCCTGAGTCTGCACACTGATTCCCAGCAGCTTATGCACTCAAGTTTATGCCAAATTTTATGTTTGTATAAAAATTAATTTCTTTGAAGAACTATGTAGATCAAGACTGTTCTTTTTATTTTGTCAGTCTTTTTCTCTACAATTTCTGTTCTTATTTTTCTATCTCCCTGGTAAAGTTTTTGTTTATTGGACCACTTACTACCTCCCAATCCACATTTGCATCAGTGTACATAGGCAAACAGAACTGACCAAAGGGCTCCTTATCACATCCCTGTAATTCTCTGAGTCACTGTACATCGTGTGTTCACATAATGTTTTAATTCTATTGTTGGATGGACCCAGGGTTCTTATAAATGCTGGAGTCTGCCTGCAGTAGGCATGTAAAAGTCTCAAAATGAGAAACCAGTTTCCTGAAAACAGAATCGCCTAAGATTTATATTCACAAAAGTGTGCATTTTAAACAATCCTCCAAAAGGATTTAGATGTAAAATGTTGTCAGAACCATTTATATAGACTGCCTAAATTTCATACACTAACTTAACCACAAAGGATATTTGGAAATTCAAAAACATCACTCTTTTCCCTTGAAACTTTAAGGGAGGAAAAAACCCATAAAATCACTATAACCACAAAATTGCTATTACTGTTTTTCTTTAGTGTCTATATAAGGGGCATTTATTTGAGATCTTTCTAAGTCCAATTTAGTGCTAAAGATAAAACGTAATAATATTAGAGATACAAGATTCTGGAAAAGTTCTACCTCATTAAGGCTTTGTTTTTTCAGTATTTTGAATATTTTAAATGTACTTTTTGTTATTGTCTAATGTTAAGGGGTCTTATTTCAGACTCACAGATTCCCATCTGCTGTTAGAAGATTATTCATCCAAGTTGAGCCCCAAAGCAAAGAGAGCCAAGCACAGCCTTCTGTCTGGGGAGGAGAAAGAAAATCTGCCAAGCGACTATATGGTGCCTATTTATTCTGGACGGTATGTGTGCTTTCTCTTCCTGCCTTTGATTATTAGAAATGGGGAATAAATAGTAGCAGCTAACACTCACTGAAAAGGGTGTTTCATTATGACATTTCCATGTATAAATGTATTATATCCCAAATTGGTTCATCTCCTCCATTTTTCTCCTTTCTACCTTAGTGCCCTTCTTGTGGTGATTTCAACAGCTTTAAAAAGTTGGTATTTATTCTTGTGTAGAAAGTATATCAACCATATCCACCTTCTTTACTTCCTCCTTTTACCCTCCCTCTCCCATTAGTGCCTTCCCCTTAGTGTGACCTGTTTCTCATTATTGTTCTTCGTTGTTTAGGTGTCTGTTCATGGTTCAATGGGATTTTTGCCTTGGTATTAAACCTATACATGCATTGTGCTTAAGTCAATGTAATCCTCCTCCACTGCACTTCCTTACCCTTTCCCCCATCCTGTGCTGTTTAACAGCATGCTTCCTTGTGTCTTGTTCCTACACAGATGTAATCTACTTCATTATTACTTGCTATCTTTCTTTCCTTCAGACAGGACACAATGTCTGAGGTCCGGTGCCTTAAGCTTAGTAAAATAATGCAATTTAATCTATACTATCCACAATATCCACATTTTGCTATTTTTACGTTTTAGTCAAGTGCATGTCAGTGGAATTACAGATACAGAAGAAGAGAGAATTAAAGAAGCTGCTGCTTACATAGCTCAGAGGAGTCTTCTTGCTAGTGAGGAAGGAATCACAACCTCCAAACAGTCCACAGCATCCAAACAGTCCACAGCATCCAAACAGTTCAAGGTATCCAAACAGGCCACGTCCACCCTTCAACAAGAGGAAACTTTTGAAAAGAAGTCGAGGAAAGTCGCAATTCGAGAAAAGGCAGAGCAGTTGTCACTGAGAAAAACAGTAAGAAAAGATAATTTAATATTACTTACAAAAGTGAAAATGCATGTAACAAGCTGTGTATTGTGCACATGTGCATGTACGTGTAGCTGTAGATTTATTTCCAATTTAGTAATATGTGGTCTTATGGGGAAGCCAAGTTAAATAAAACAGAGAAAGACATCCAGATGTGTAAGCCAAAGAAAAGCAAACTTAATAATCTTAGACTCCATGGAACTTCAGATTTTAAAGAAATTGAAATTCTAAAGGAACTTAAGAAATTTACTGTAGGGATGTTGCTCAAGCTTACTACATTAAATGTTAAATGAGTACCTGTTTTTAAAAACAGGGAGAGGAATGCATTTTATCCAAATGTAAAAATAAGGTTCTAAATGGAAAAATTTAAAGTTTGACTTCCCCTTGTTATTTTAGCACCGGAAGTTACTTTGATTTAGTCATATTTTGATAATTTGTTTGTTTTTTCAGTTAGAAGAAACACAGGCATATCATGGAAAGCTAAATGAAGATCATCTTCTCCATGCTCCTGAGTTTATCATTAAGCCTCGTTCCCACACAGTCTGGGAGAAAGAGAATGTAACATTGCACTGCTCCGTATCAGGCTGGCCAGAGCCTCGTCTCACATGGTAGGTCTTCTTCATGAAACTAACAGACTTGATTACGCAGTGTTTTTAGTTTACTGCTAGTGAAACATACCGAATTATCAATACCGAGAACCAACAAAGGCATCTACAAGTTTGTATAGGTTTTCAAAAAAGTGAAGAAAGAATTTGGGGATGAATTTTTATACCTAGGGAGAACCAACAGTCTTACATGCAAATAATGCATTAAAATACTTTAGAACCTTATTATAAGTCCTTATTTTACACAAAGTATTATATTGTAGTTTAATCAACATATTTGCACACCAAAATACATTTATAAGTACAATGGAACATAACAAATAAATAAGTTTTGGCTGTCACCAGTGAACTTTACAATAGTAAAGTTCTTCCGTATCTGTAATTCCACTGACATGCACTTGACTAAAACGTAAATAATTTGATTTTGTGATCAGCAGCAAAGTTGCCTTTTAAAAATAACTAAGGCCCAAAGGGCTCCTTCTCTACCCCTTCCATTAACTGAAGCTTCTGTGTGCTTTCTGACACCAAACAAGTCAGATGGGAGATATTCACTATAGATCTGTAAGTTATTATCTTTCCATGAAGAATAAGCGAATTCTACTGTGATTGTCAATGCCTTTGTGAACCCTAAACTCGGAATTTCCCTTTCCTATGGCATGAATATCTGTCCCAGAGAGCAGAAGTATGAGAATGACTGAGTCAACTTGAAAAGATGTTTTCATTTTATTCTCTGACATAGGTATTTTGCATGATGTTTTCTAGTCCTCAGGAGTGATGGTAAACATATATATGTCACACTATAAACACCACACCAGTGTCACTGTCACTGACAGAGCATTTGCCTCCTTCTTTTGTTTTCTTTCTTTCTTTTTTCTTTCTCTCTTTCTTTCCTTCCTGCCTCCCTCCCTCCCTCTCTCCCTCCCTCTCTCCCTCCCTCTCTCCCTCCTTTCCTTCCTTCCTTTCCTGTTCCTTTTTATTTTGAGACAGGATCTCATTATGTGGTCCAGGCTGGCCTGGAACTCTTAACCCTCCTGCCTCAGCCCTCCAAGTGTTAAGATTATAAGTATGGCCCACCACACCCAGATCTTTTCCCACTTTTTAAAAAATTAGAGTTAACAATTTTCAAAAGGATATAAAGTAATCTCTGGGAGATAAATGTTAATTATATTTATTTATTCTGTTAAATACATAGCAACCGGTACAAAAACCCAGCTACTTCTGTTGATGGTGCTTTTAAGCCACAGTGATGTGATTCACAGAGACAAAACTCAACCTTGGAAATTGAACTCCATGTACTATGTTTTGCTGGTCTGGAAAAGGAGTGATTTAAAAAACCAACAAAAAAATTTTTTTTAAATCCCCAGAAAAAGTATAACATGATGACCTATAGAATTGTAGTTAAATGTAAAAACAGAAATACTGCCCCTCTAAAGTTATCCTCATTAACAAAGCTGAGAAGTAATATAATTAACCTCCAAATCTTTCACATGTGGCTTTGAAATATTTATCTCACTTCATCTCAGGAAGTCGTTCATTTCCTGGAACAGCCTCTTCTAAACCCTACCCCCCCTTCAGTGCTTGGAGGGGGTGATTCCCTATTCCCTTCTTAACATAAGTTCTCCCAGGAGGGACAGGCCAGAGCTTTTCACAGAAAGTCTCACCATGCAAAGCTCAATGAAAAATAAATACTAAAACAAAAGAACCAGAGGACAACTAAGAAAATAATTAGTCTACTTGGAGAGCAAGATTTGTCCCTGAATGAACTAAAAGTTTGATAATCAGTGTGCACATAAACGATATTTGACTGTGGCAACAAACAGGGTCAGATCCAGGTTTGTGGGCATGAAACTTTTACAATTTGGGGAGCACTCTTTGTAACAAAGAATATAAGGTTAGTAGTTCAAAGCAGGCCTAAGGTCTTGTAGGGCCCATGCTGGGGATGAACCCTGAAACTTAAGTCTCATTCACTTCCAGGTAAATCCATCTCTGGGAGCAAACTTCTGTATGGAGTCCCTTCATGGGCATATTGCCTTTTCTAAAAAGCATTAACTGCAGCTCTACTATACTTTGCAATACTGATAAGGAGTATGCATCCTCCCCCTCAAAGAGCAGGGACCCACTAACCAAGCGAGAACTAAGGCTATTGATGATTACTTTGCTGGCATTTATACCTTTTAGGTACCCAACTGCAGCTTTCTGGGCCTGACACTGAGTACAAGTATGAAAGAAATATTGGGAGTCCCAGATGGAAGGAGGACAATTAAAGGAATAAGTTTGTGGTAATGCTTTGTGCTCTCACACTGCCTCCACTTATTGCAGTTAAGTCCTGAACCTGGGGCCTGGTTCCCTCAAAGCCCTTTCCAAAGAGGTTTTCATTCCAAATTTCCACTGGGCACTGTCAGTTCATGGGAGTCCCTGAGGTCTAACAAATATATGAACATGCAGCAGCTGCTCTTCTGCCAATCCCATGTTTCTGACCATATCTATTTAAGTGGATCTTATTTATACACAATGGAATTTTATGCAGCCATGAAGAAGAATGAAATGTTATCATTTGCTGGTAAATGGATAGCATTGGAGAACATCATTCTGAGTGAGGTTAGCCTGGCCCAAAAGACCAAAAATCGTATGTTCTCCCTATATGAGGACATTAGATCAGGGCAAACACAACAAGGGGATTGGACTTTGATCACATGATAAAGTGAGAGCACACAAGGGAGGTATGAGGATAGGTAAGACACCTAAAAAACTAGATAGCATTTGTTGCCTTCAATGCAGAGAAACTAAAGCAGATACTTTAAAGCAACAGAGGCCAATAGGAGAAGGGGACCAGAAACTAGAGAAAAGGTTAGATCAAGAAGAATTAACCTAGAAGGTAACACCCATGCACAGGAAATTAATGTGAGTCAACTCCCTGTATAGCTATCCTTACCTCAACTAGCAAAAACCCTTGTTCCTTCCTATTATAGC